AACGACATAGCCGTCTACCGTGCTTTTCACATAGACGCATTTGTCACTTTCGTTTATTTTAAACCCATTAATTAGCATTGCATGATCGAACTTTTCGTGCCACTGTTTAGGGGCTTGTTTCAATCCATACACTGATTTAATTAATTTACAAATCTTCTTTTCTTGGCCTGGAACACGAAAACCCTCAAGCTGTTCCATATAGATTTCTTCGTCTATATCGCCGTTTAGAAAAGCGGTTTTTACGTCCATTTGATGAACTTCCAAATTCCGCAAAACGGCAATTGCTAGTATCATCCTAATGGAATTTATTCTCGTCACAGGAGAATACGTGTCAAAGTAATCATGGCCTTCACGTTGCTTGTATCCTTTGATTACAACTCTGGCCTTATACTTATCAATGGAACCGTCCGGTTTTATTTTACGTTTAAAAATCCACTTGGATCCCAAAGGTTTACATCCCGGAGGGAGATCAACCAATTCCCATGTGTGATTTTTTAGGATAGAATCCACCTCACTTTTGATGGCTTCTTTGCACATTGGTCCTTCGGTAGACGTTACGGCTTCCGTATAAGTCCGTGGCTCATTTTCTACCAAACATGTTCGAAAATCCGGTTCATTTTCCTACCATACAAGTTAGAATATTCGAATCGAATTCTACCAAGTATGTGAGAAAATCCGGTCCGAAGGATTTTTCAACTCTAGCACGTTTGCTACGTCGGGGTTCGGCTTCTTCACTGGATCCCTCGCTAGTATTTTCCATAGCTACGTCAAACGTTCGTTTTGACGTGCTAGGTCCATCGTTGGACTTGCATGGAAATACGTCTTCAAAGAATGATGCATTCCTTGACTCAATTATTGTGTTTTTATGTACATCCGGATTATTCGAATCGTACACTAAAAACCGATAAGCACTACTATTTCGTGCATATCCAATAAAAATACAATCCACCGTTTTTGGACCTATTTTTATTTTCTTAGGTGTTGGTACAAGCACCTTAGCAAGACACCCCCACACTTTTAAATATTGATAGGAAGGTCGTCTGCCTTTCCACAACTCGTACGGAGTTTTATCATATTTTTTTCCGGGGAACCTTATTTAAAAGGTAATTGCTTGTCAAGATTGCTTCGCCCCACATGTTTTGTGGCAGGCCTGAACTTACTAGCATCGCATTCATCATATCTTTCAATGTGCGATTCTTTCGTTCGGCAACACCGTTTGATTGAGGTGAATAGGGTGCGGTACGTTCGTGTACTATACCCACACTAGCGCAAAAGTCACCAATTGGTGCTTCATACTCACCACCTCGATCACTTCTAACCGTTTTAATCTGTCGATTAAGTTGGTTTTCCACTTCATTCTTATAAAGAATGAATTTATCGATTGCTTCGTGTTTATTTTTCAACAAATAAACATAGCTATAGCGAGTGCTATCATCGATAAAAGTAATAAAATATTTATTACCGCCACGTGTTTGTATTGATTTAAAATCACAAACGTCACTATGAATTAATTCTAGTGGTTCCGTTTTTCTTTCAACCGGTTTGAAAGACGTTTTCGTTAGTTTTGCCTCAACACAAATATCACATTTGTGCTTCGTGTTTATTTTTCAACAAATAAACATAGCTATAGCGAGTGCTATCATCGATAAAAGTAATAAAATATTTATTACCGCCACGTTAGGAATTCTACCAAGTATGTGAGAAAATCCGGTCCGAAGGATTTTTCAACTCTAGCACGTTCGCTACGTCGGGGTTCGGCTTCTTCACCGGATCCCTCGCTAGTATTTTCCATAGCTACGTCAAACGTTCGTTTTGACGTGCTAGGTCCATCGTTGGACTTGCATGGAAATACGACTTCAAAGAATGATGCATTCCTTGACTCAAATATTGTGTTTTTATGTACATCCGGATTATTCGAATCGTACACTAAAAACCGATAAGCACTACTATTTTGTGCATATCCAATAAAAATACAATTCACCGTTTTTGGACCTATTTTTATTTTCTTAGGTGTTGGTACAAGCACCTTAGCAAGACACCCCCACACTTTTAAATATTGATAGGAAGGTCGTCTGCCTTTCCACAACTCGTACGGAGTTTTATCATATTTTTTTCCGGGGAACCTTATTTAAAAGGTAATTGCTTGTCAAGATTGCTTCGCCCCACATGTTTTGTGGCAGGCCTGAACTTACTAGCATCGCATTCATCATATCTTTCAATGTGCGATTCTTTCGTTCGGCAACACCGTTTGATTGAGGTGAATAGGGTGCGGTACGTTCGTGTACTATACCCACACTAGCGCAAAAGTCACCAATTGGTGCTTCATACTCACCACCTCGATCACTTCTAACCGTTTTAATCTGTCGATTAAGTTGGTTTTCCACTTCATTCTTATAAAGAATGAATTTATCGATTGCTTCGTGTTTATTTTTCAACAAATAAACATAGCTATAGCGAGTGCTATCATCGATAAAAGTAATAAAATATTTATTACCGCCACGTGTTTGTATTGATTTAAAATCACAAACGTCACTATGAATTAATTCTAGTGGTTCCATTTTTCTTTCAACCGGTTTGAAAGACGTTTTCGTTAGTTTTGCCTCAACACAAATATCACATTTGTGCTTCACATCAATTTTGAATTTAGGAATGTGTTCCATGTTAATTAATCTACGTATAGAATTAAAATTAACATGTCCTAGTCTACCATGCCACACATTGGAAGACTCAAGCAAGTAAGCAGAAGGGATTTTATTATTATTAATAATAATAGTCGTTACATTGAGCTTAAACAGCTCGTCACATGCATATCCCTTGCCCACATACATTCCTGACTTGGACAAAACTAATTTGTCCGACTCAAAACCCATGCGGAAGCCATGTTTGTTCAACAACGAACCGGAAATCAGGTTTTTGCGTATTTCCGGAACGAACAGCACTTGGTTAAGAGTCAGCTCCTTGCCCGAAGTCATCTTCAGGACCACCTTGCCCACGCCTTCAGCGGCGGAATGAGCCGAGTTTCCCATCCACACCTTCTCACCATTAGATGGCTCAAAAGTAGTGAATAACTCCCGGTTTGAGCAAATATGCCGGGTAGCACCGGTGTCCACAAACCACTCCTTGGAATTGGATCCAACGAGGTTGACTTCCGTAACCACAGCCGCTAGGATGATGTCTTCATCCTTTTGCCCACCTTGCACCAAGTTGACTTGGGAGTCTTTCTTCTTCCTTGGTGCCTTGCAATCCGAGGACTTGTGTCCGTTCTTGTTGCAATTGAAGCATTTTCCATTAAACTTGGGTTTGGAAACGCCTCCTTTGGGACCGAGCTTGCTCTTCCCATTATTTTTGGTTTTGGAGCCTTTTGCATGCTCCACCACGTTTGCCTTGGCGCCATGAACAATTGGGAGTTTCCCATCGTTCTTCCGGTTATCCTCTTCAATCCGAAGACGGAGGATCAATTGCTCCAAGTTCATTTCCTTTCGCTTATGCTTAAGGTAGTTCTTGAAATCCTTCCAAGCCGGCGGCAATAAATGAATAATTGACGCCACTTGGAATGACTCACTAACTGTCATTCCTTCATCTCGAATTTCGTTGAATATCATTTGCATTTCTTCAACTTGACTCAAGACCGTCTTTGAATCCACCATTTTAAAATCAAGGAATCGACCAACAACAAATTTCTTTGCGCCGGCATCCTTGCTTTTATACTTGTGGTCCAAAGCATTCCATAGCTCCTTAGCCGTAGCTAATTTGCTATACACGTCGTACAAAGCATCATGCAGCCCGTTCAACACATAGTACAAAGCATCATGAGGCCAATCAGAAGACCCCAACTCTGATCCGCGGCCATCAGAGTACCCCCAACTCTGATGGGCGGCCATCAGAATACCCCATGAGGGGTTCTGCCATCAGAACACCAACGAGGTGTTCTGATCCGTAGGCTTCTGTCCGAGCACTTCTGCCGCTGGGAAAAAATTAAACGTTTCGGGAAGAAAACAAAAATTAATCGTATCTCTTGAGAGATAGATTTTTGGACGACATTCGTGTCCGCAGGTCGCCCGCGCACGCAAGTCGCGGTTTTTCTTCTCCGAAGACCGATGTATGGGGCTAACGAGATTATGTATGGGTGGATGATATCATCGAAGTAGGACCCAAAAGTTATTCAACATACCCAAGGCTTATAATTTGGGTTTATGAGTTAATTTGTGAAAAAAAACTTTGACTCGTATGATCTCATCATGGTCATAGTATGTTACCCATATCTATTGATAACACGGATATTCACCACATGGTCACAATTCTTCAGTTGACCTGTGACACTCCAAAAAATTTAAATAAAAAAAATAAATAAATAAATAAATAAATTTTAATAGTCACATAAAATATTAAGAAAGTGACGTTTTAATAAGTAAGTGAAACAAATAAAATTTTAACATCGGTGACATTTTTATCAGATAAAAATGTTTTAATAATAAAAGTGACATTTTGATTTAAAGAGATGAGTAAATAAAATGTGTACAAAAATACCACACAAAATAACAATGTTAAAAGAATTGAGTTATCAACCAAATATTTATGCGAAGTACTTGTACCTAATAATAAAATGGTGTGTAGTAGTAAAAATATTGGATGGTACAATGTATGTGGACATAATGAGATTAATAATGAGGAAGAGACAAATAATACATCCACACATACACATACCATAAGAGTACTAGACACATGAGGAGGAGACAATAATGTGTACATGTGAGTCATAGACACATGGTATGTGTCGGGCCTTTCAACATACCATACGTGGTATAACATATTGGGACAACTCTTAATAATGTATAAATACGAAGTACATACTATAAATTAATGAACATATGTACTGATACAATGCATACCAACGGAGTACCATACCCATCCACATGCATATGTTCAAGTTGATTGGAAGATGCCAAATATATTAACTCATGTAGTCAAAACCTTCGGCAGCCCATGTACCTACGAGACACACCATCCAGCCTCAAACTTGAGATTTGTTTCACTCACAACCGAGCATTCGAGATATACATATATATACGTATATACTACTATACATACGAAAAACACAGCCCTTCGTTTCAGCTTAAAACCGAGCCATGAAAACACCATAGAGACCTTCCCCTTCTCGAGAGGAATCCAACGGTGAAAGAATCGTTGAAAACGATCGTGAAACGACGGAGAACAAGCTTGCCGGAGTTCCGCCGGGCTAACCGTAAAGACGGAAAACGGAGAAGAAGGAGGAGCTGCCGCTGCCGCCAACACATCACCGACCTTCGCCGTCCCAAAACGAGCCTTCTACCACCACCGTATCACGAATCAGTCGAGGTAACCCCCTTTCCCCTGCCTAGCTCGTTTTCTCGAGTTCATGATCGAGGAAGAAGAAGTGTACACATTTTTTTTCTTTCTCTCTTAGAAGATTGGGCAGTTTGGGCCAGGAGTTTTCATTTTTATTTTTGGGCCAAGACTCCTAAGTAGTAGTAGTAGTAGTAATAATAATAATAATAATAATAATAATAATAATAATAATAATAATAATAATAATAATAATAATAATAATAATAATAATAATAATAATAATAATCTGCAAAATGGATAAAATTGAGATGAGAAATATTAATGAAGAAATTGGCTTGATTGGTAGTAATTACTTGGATAAATTTGTCACTTTTGATTGAGATAATTTCATAATAGAAAAACTAATGGACTGTTGATATTAAACAAATTAATTATTATTGTTATTATCTCAATCAGTTAAATTCAAAGTGCAATTCAATGATTAAATTAGTTACGAAATTATAATTAGGTGGATTTGAGTTATGTTAAGCACCGAATGAATTATATGAAATAGAGTGAAATCATTATTTAGACAAATATGTAACTTGGACCAGTTTAATAATATTAAAATATCATTAAAGAAGTTCGAATATTTAACCTTATATTATGATTCAGATTGTTTATAAAATTTAAGGTATGATATGCAGACTATTTTAATTCGGACCAATTGAAGTAATTATAAACAAAGTGGTAAGATTAATAAAAGTGGTTAATTGATAATTAACAGATAACCTAAATCCCAATAATAAAACAAAAGAAGGAAATCAGATAAATTTTTAATAGAATAAGTGACTGATTGTATCGTCTTAATTAAAAAGGTGATTATTTTGAGACAAGAATAGAGGAGGAGAATTAGAAGCATCAAATTTGAGGTAAGTTTCTCTGCCGATCCAAAATGATTTCCTCGTATTATATGCTTATTATGCATTTTGTGATAAAGAGTGAATTTTGAATTATGTGATTTTGAGGAGATATTAGATTTATGGTATTTTTGAAGTGCAAACGAAGTTCTTCTGGGTATTAAATATTTTTAGATACTTTTGAGACTATTTAGAGAGATTGGGAAATATTTTTGAAGTATACTTAATTCAAGATAAAATTAAGGATTTCATAAGAGGTGAGCACCCGGGAGAAATCCGTGGTGTCGGTTTTCCACATCCGGATAAATGTGGAGGGTGATTAAGGCTGCTACTACTAAGAAGTACAGTTTGAGTTTGAAGTGACATTTGGATCTATGATCCCTTTTAAGAAGAAGTTATAGTAGTAGTAGTCCCTAATCATTCAAGAATTTTAAAGGTGGGGTAGTTGGTAGACTGAGTCCCGATTACTCGTGACGACTTACTACTCGGAGGGCTTGGAATCCCTTTTAGGGGGTGTGCACACTTAAGGTAGTCGTTTCGTTTCCATTAGCAGTTGTGGTACCGGCAAAAGTCCCGGGGTGGCCGTACATAACAACGTAACCACCGGGCTCAACCAGAGTGTTGAGCACCGCCCTTCTAAATTACTAGGAAGATAGAGAAGAAGTGAATTTTTAGAAGTTCTAAGAGAAGAGTTACTATAGTATTTTTGAAGAAAAGTTGAGGACTTTAGTAAAGAAGTGATTTTGAGAAAAAATCAAAGAGAAAAGAATTTTGGTGGAGTGTGTCATTTTTATATAGTATTATATGAAAAACTATTTTTCGCCAAACCTGATTATTTTACGGGGTTGGGTAGTACTTACTTAGCTCTAAAGCTAATTTTTGTTTTCTTTCCTTTGTTTTGTTTTCTGCACTTTATTTGTGCAGGTGTTGACTCGTATGATCTCATCATGGTCATAGTATGTTACCCATATCTATTGATAACACGGATATTCACCACATGGTCACAATTCTTCAGTTGACCTATTCCCTTTCAAGTATTAAGGGTTGGTTTGCAACTCCTTTTAAAAAAACATTTATCAGCTTTTGACTTTAAAAAAGCACTTATTTTTCCAAACACTACAACTTTTATTTTTCTCGACTTCCGCGTCAAAAGTGTTTTTACTTTTTCTATTACACAAAAAACACTTATTTTACCAAACACTACCCACTTTTACTTTTCAAAATCACTTTTTTCTCAAACATTATCAACTTTTATTTAATCACTTCTCCCCATTTCATTAAAAAAAACACTTTTTAAAAGCAAAAGTTGTTGCAAACAGACCCTAATCCGCCAAATTCAGTGACCTATTTTATCACTCAAGTTACAACTCTTGTATAGTTTACATAGAAGATCATACATTGTATCACTTGGAATATCACATCATACTATTTGGTAAAAGTATTTCACTTTGACTCTAAATTGTAGAATTTTCAAACTTAGTAAATAACCATCAAGTAATCCATTATATTCACACATCATCATAGTATCCTTTTTACCCATATGGACAATTATTTAAGAATGCAAGTCCATATTGTCTAGAATATGTACAATCCATTTTGTCTACAACCCATTTTCAAAAGTCCGCACGATGAATAGGTTTTCTATTGGATAAGATCATCCGAAACAACCAACCGGTTTATACCCATTGCATTTATACCATAACATATTCAATCTTGGCTTACTATTCTAAACAATTCAACGTAATTTGGTATGAACCCATTGCAATCCCATTTAAAATTACAACTCGTCTTTGTGATAAAGTATCTCACAATTTCAAACTTATTGAAAACAAGTTTCCTGTAAGTTTGATCGCAATTTAGGTCTGAACTATTCTTTAGAAAAGAATATGAGTTGTCCACAATAATTCAATCTAGGTATTCAAATCATAATATGAGCTTTGAATACCTTGATTTAGAACTTTCCTTGCCACAATTCCGACCGAAATTGCTCGGACCGAAGATTCGGACCAACGAGAAAAATTTATTGTTTTCAGTGTAGATGACTTGTATCATCTATGATCTCATAGTCTCATAGATCTTATAAGCCTGAAAATTATAGACTTGATTATACAAGTCTATAATTTGACATAAGCCTCAAATATACGATTTTGGTAATTTGGACTTGAGCTTTATTGGTATTGACACTGTAAAATAACTTGAGTAATAAATAAAGCGTTGATCTTTTATTTTGATTATTTATCATTATTTTTGTAATCTTTCATTGAAACAGTAACAAATAATATAATGATTATTATAATATTATTATCATATTTATATGACACCAATATGTCATCTTTTTCATGATACCAAAGTGTCACAAATTTTTACGATACCAATGTGTCATAATCTTGTATTACATTAATGTGTCACAATTTACCGACACTATTATGTTTTACGATCAGTGACACTATATTTAGTGTCACTAGCCGCCACTTTTCCCGACACTTTTTTAGTGTCGCAGAAACTTTCAGCGACACTAAATTAGTGTTTACTGTAAGCCCTTTTTCTACTAGTGTAAGAGTCGTGAATGAGTTGTATTTTAAGAAAGTTTCTTGCAAATGTCATATAGATTGGTAAATCTATACACTCTTTGAATGAGTGTATAGATTTAACTCTGTGTTTAAATTCAGGAATTTGAGACTGTATAACAAAATGAGCATAGACAAAAATAATTTTTGTCTAATTTTGAAAAGGGTTAAACTTGTAAACCCAGTGATCTTTAATCTACATGTATAACATACAATTCAATATGAGATCATACTTGTACAATCGTAATAACTCAAATAATATTACATACGATGGGTTCAGCCGGTCGACACTAATTATGTGTCGAACATAATTTTATAGATGGGTGAACATACAAGTATGAGATCTCACTGTATTAAGTGAGATAGGACGATTGTATGTATATATTAATTGGAAGACTTGGAATTACCAATATAGTTGACGAATGGCAATTGTAAGGTTATGGATCGGAGTACGAGATGACAATGTATTATGGTATTAACCAAATTTATTAAAGGTAAATTTAAGTTATCCCAATATTTGTTAAGTATATACAAAAAGACGAATGTGACCATAATATTCTTATGAGTAATTTAGACTAAAACATTGGAAAAAAATATACAATCATGTATATAAAATATCCAATATTATGGTTTTTACTAGGTATGTCTAAATTAAGTATATCTATTCGATTGCAATTTATAAATTATATCAAAATAGGACTAAAAGTCATTCACTTTGCACAAATAAGACCAAAAAATAAACTATGTTTCCATAGGACTAGTTATGTTTGTCTTGGACAAATATACCCTTATACCTATTGGAATGTTTTAATTCATAATAAAATAATAAAAAATAATAAAAATTCGTAAAATATACCAAAAAATTAATAAAAATATTTTGAATAATAATAAATTTAAAAAAAAAATTAAAAATAAAAATAAAAAAACAAATTAAAAAAATTAAAAAAAAATCAAAAAAATATTTTTTTGTCACCGCCGCCTATACCGCCCCAGCACCACCACCTCTAGTCATTTGGGGAAAAAATGCCAAATTTATTATGAATTCCATATTTTTGGCAAAATTCAGAATGATTTAAGATGGAAGAAAAAAAATGTTGGCATTCTCAAAGAGAAATATGCCATATTTTTGGCATTTTCCGAAAAAATGGAAGTTTGTAGGGAAATATGACATTTTTTTTAACGGTCGGAGGTGGTGGTGCAGGGAGGCGGTACTACCACCTCCTGTCACCGGGGTAAAAAAATGCCAAAAAAATTATGAATGCCATATTTTTGGCAAAAGTCAAAAGGATTCAAGTTGGCAAAATGAAAATGTTGGCATTCTCATAGAGAAATATGCCATTTTTGTGGAATTTAAAAAAAAGTGGCATTTTTTACACCGATCGGAGGTGGTGGTTCAGGGAGGTAGTACAGGCGGTGGGAAAGGTATCCATATTTTTTTTAAATTTTTTTTTGGAGTTTTACTATTTTTTATTAATTTTAAAAAAAACATTAAAAAAAAAATTTCTTATTTTTTATTTTATAAAAATTTTATTAATTTTTTTATTATTTTTCTACGAATTATTGAAATTTTTTCGAATTTATTATGAATTAAACATTTAATTATGACTTTTAGCTATCTTTTATTAATATTTAAAGGAGGGGTAAGAATGGAAGGAAGAAATGAGTATGTTTCCAATAGGACCACTATGGTCCTATTTTGGAATAAAAAACATAGCAAATCCTATTTTGAGTTTTTGCCATAGTTTTAGTCCTATTTGGAGTAATTTAATTACTTATTAGTTGTGTATTTATATGCTGATCACATTAAGTATGTACCGATAGTTTGAACAATCGATATATCATAGCATACAAATTTACCACAATTAATTTGGTCCATTGTAAGATATCTTTGTATGGGTTAAATACTATGAGATGGGTATTAACCATTGGTATATGTATTTTAAATATTGGGAATTGTACACTACCAAGATAGTTCCAAGTTTGTATGAAAGGTGGTAATAAATCACAATCGTTTATAACAAACTAGATTCTCACCCGTGCGATGCACGGAAACAAAATTTAATAGGAAGATTTAATGTTGTTTATTTACGTTAACGATATCTATAAAAAAACGTTAACAATCGCATAAAAAAATCATAAAATTACAATTTATAAATGAGCAAAAGAAAGTATGGTATATAATAAAAAGTGCTATAATAAATAGTTAAAAAGAGCAAGTACAATTCGATCAATATACGTTGGAATGGGAAATTTGTCTGAATTTCTCATATTACCTAGTAGTTGCAACATTATAAATTTTACAATATTCATGTGCTTTACTTTGACTATACTTTATTTACAGATGTATCAAAAAAATTAAAATATATAATTACATTTTTCTTACTATATTTTCAAAATGTAAGAGTTTTGAAATTTTTATAATTAAGGTAATAAATATATTAATGATCAAAATTGTGTGTTGCAAGCATGATGTTAGTTTTCTCCTTCATTGAGTTCATCAGTTCTATCCAGAAGAGCTGAGCCATAGAGACAGAATAGAATAAAATAGAGTATAGAGGCAGAATATAATAGAATAGTTTCAGGCTGCTCTCTCTCTCTCTAGAGGGAGAGCAGCGGCCATTTCATACGATGTACCAAAGTTCTCGATATATTAATATGAATAAGAATGTTTCTGCCCCCTCTTTCATTTCTATAGTTGTTTGATTGTTAGAAATAGGGACTAACACATGAAAATAGAAGTGTTGAAACCACAAAAGAACAAAGAAAATATATACCAATATGAGTATGATTGGGCCACATTTTTCGAATTCCATTATGTATGTGTGTGTATATATATATATATATATATATATATATATATATATATATATATATATATATTTATAGTATAACTATAAAAAGAATAATCAATACTATAAGTATTTAAATACATAAAACATGTAAAATATATAAAATATAAACTTCCTCCGTCTCAAGTTATCTCACTACAAAAAAATTCGGCTGTAGTCACGGATTTAGTCATGGAACACAGTATAAACTTCTTTTGATTTGTTGCAATATTGATAAAATTGTGAAAAAGTAAAAGTTATGGTTGAGATTTGAGTAATATAAAATGAAATGTTATAGACTTCATATTTATTTAAAAAATGACACTTATTTTGATAAAGCCCCAAAAGGAAAATAAGATGGGTAAGATATGACAAAGTGAATATAAAATATAATATAAATTACATAAAGAATATACTAGTATAAAATATAAAAATATACTCCGTATAATACATATAATATAAAAACACTTTAATATATATAATAATACAAAGATAAATTTTCCCATAGATTCAAGACCACTTTAACAACATAATTCCATATTGGGAATTTTTCACAAGTAGGCTAAAAAGAGAAAATTTTATCATTTTTATCACTCTCTAAGTTTCTTTTCAAAAATAGACTAAGAAAACTTTTCTTTTCATCAATAGACCATACGGCGCATACGGTAATAACGGTACTACTCAAGTACTCCACTTAAATGAACCTTTACTCCCTGAAAGTGCCGTTAGGTTGCCGAAACGGAAATCATACTGCAAGTTGCCCAGCCACAAAGTGTTGTCTCTACATGTATTCAAACACTAAAAAAATGTAAAATAAGAAAATAAATATTTCTAAAATATGAATTCGTGAAAAAATAACAAATAAAATAAAATGAACTATTCTTCAGAAAAAATATAAAATGTGAACATAATTAAAACTTTATAAAAGAGTAAAAAATACAAAAAAAATGTAAATATCCTAAAAAGCAATAAATAAATAAATAAAATTAATAAAATATAAAATAAATAAAGCAAAAAAATCACATAAAAATTAATAGAAAACGAAAAAAAAAGTGTAAACAGGTTATTTTTAAAACCTCTCGAAAATTCAAATTTGAAAATTTATAGATAAATAAAAGAGTATTAAAATATTAATTCTTCAAAAATAAAAAATGAAATAAAATATTATTCAGAAAAAAATATAAAATAGAAAAATAATTAAAACTTTATAAAAGAGTATATATGAATTACTAGAAAAATTTTAAAATTACTAAATATTCTAAAAAAGAAAATAAATAAAAAATAAGAATCTTAAAATTAAGAAAAATATAAAATAAAGAAAGAAAGAAAAAAGTATATATGAATTACTAGAAAATTTAATAAAAATTGTGTAAACAGGTTATTTTTAAATAGTGTAACAAATTTGAAAATTTTAAGATAAATAAATTGCACAAAATACGAAAAAACTTAAAACAATTATAAAAATATAAAGAATACAAACTCTGATATTTGAAAACATAAAAAAATCTAAAATTAATAAATAAACTTTGAAAACATTCATCAAATATAAAATAATCGTAGAAAAGAATATAAAAATAGAAAATGAGATTCTATAAATTTTAATAATCATAAAACTAGAGTAAAATAAAAAGCATGCAAAATATAAAAATCTCATACATATAAAATAATATTATTATCATTAAATTGCTACTGTTGCATATTGTTTCTTTGTGTAATTGTGTTTCTCTTTGTTGATCTTTTTAATTTTTTTTGTTTCTTCATGATTGTTTTTGTTTATTGATAAATCTAAATTTATCATTTTAGTTGTTTTTATATATAGCAATATCCCATTTTTGTTCCCAATCACAAACAAATATAAATATAAATGTAAATAGAAAAAAAATCAAAATCAATAATAAAGAACAATATACAACATAATATACAACATGATATAACAAAATGAAACAAGATGCAACAAAAAACAACACATATTATGCAACAAAAAGTAACAAAAATAACATAAACAAATATAACAAAATACATATAATTTAATCTATTAGTACAATTTATTACATTTATCCACAAATGAAACAACATGCAACAAGATGCAACAAAAAACAACACATATTATGCAACAAAAAGCAACAAAAATAACATAAACAAATATGACAAAATACATATAATTTAATCTATTAGTACAATTTATTACATTTATCTACAAATGAAACAAGATGCAACAAGATGCAAGAAAAAACAACACATATTATGCAACAAAAATAACATATACAAATATGACAAAATACATATAATTTAATCTATTAGTACAATTTATTACATTTATCTAACACATCTATCGCTTTTGGTTCTGCTCACTTCTTATACCTTTTATGTTGCAACTCAACACACAGCTTATTAGGTTTATTTCATCTATCTTCATTTTCGTTGTCAATCTTCTCATCCTTACGCCTTCAGGGACTTCTTTTTTATTATGAACCTACAATGGGAATATAATGCAATCACTATAAAAGAAATTCTGAATAAATTATTACAATAACCTATATAACAGATGCACAAAAAGACATCCACAGCTAGAAGAGAACTAAATAGGAAAAAAGAATGAAATTGAATATTAATTCAATCAATATGTGAATAGCCAATGAAGAGGCATAAGCTTTTCTACTCTCAATCTTTGAACAAATATATGAATGATTAAAAATAGAAAACTCCACATGTCACATTATGTAGGAACACATCATTTTAAAATTCTAGACCAAACATCAATACAACAGGTTCAAGCAACATCTAAAAATAGCAGTTGGCTATTATTTCTAAACTCAGTAATGAGATTTACAAGAGGAGTGTACAAATTGATCGTAAATTGCACCAATACCTTTCAAGCATTGATGCTATCGACCCTTTTGAGAATATCAATGGAATCTCAATGAAGATTACGGCCCTAATTGTTAAGAAAAGCTAAGTTCAAAACTCTAAAATTTCGAATGCATTGAAACCCTGTAAAAAAAATGGAAATAACATGATGTAAACTACTTAATTAGCTCGATCCTATGAAGCTAGATTTTGAATAGAAGAAAGTGATGACTAATAAGATCTATGATACTAATACATATTATTGATTTGCTCAAGTTTTCAAAGGATGTCATTGTAGGCAGCTGATCTCTCTTTGCACTTTGCAGTACTATACAATAATACTCATTTGTGGAAACTAGTGCTTGGAAATGCAGATTTCATCATAATGCTAAAAACACAAGTTGGAATATACGTAGTACTCCGTATTATTTTGAAAAAGAAGGGTCAACAAGAAATTTTGATTTTTTTTAATCGAAATAGATTGGGATTTTTTATTAATAAACTACAATATGCATGCGAGACACCAATCTGTCAAGTTTTTTAGCTCACCCTCTTATGTCTCTAACAAACATCCTGTCTAGGAGATCGAATTTCCTAACGCTCTCCAAATCGCCGTGTTCTTCCTCTACTCTCTGAAATTCTCTACTTCATATTTCCATATGGTAATCAAAAGACCTCAAAAGCTCTGCAACAAAAATTATATTGTTGTAGTCTTCCACTACTAATCAATTGTAATCCACTTCCACACAGAAACGGCAGTTCATGAAAAGGGTTTCCAAACACCTCTTTGTGCTAGACTTGCACCCAAAATCAGTGTCAGCCAACCAAATAGAAAACTCCCCCAACAAAAAGCATCCGTTCATGGCCATATTACTTACAAGGAACGAAATAAGCTCTCCATGTTCATGTAATAATTAATTCAAAAACTTAATCGGAGTCATAGTTCTAAAAACAAACAAACTAGTTTAGCAAATAAGTAGATACTCCGTAATAAATTAAAACAAAAACTTCAATGAATGATAGATCAGATAAAAATCTCAAACACATACTTGCAAATCTGAAACACATACTTGAAAACCGGAAACCAGCAGGCAGTTAGGCCGCGATTCAGCAAGCAGCAAAGTTGCCAAGCAAGCACGGGAGGAGGGCGGAGGGCGAAGCCACTCAGGGCGAAGGGCGGAGGGCGGAGAGCGGCATACGAAGCAGCACAAGACGGAGAGCAGAGGGCGGAGCCGAGGCACAGCCAGATCTGGGCAAGAGGAGAAGATGCCAGATTTCCGATCTCTGGGGATGTTTTGATTAAGGATGTGGTTATTTTTGAAATAAAAATTGAAAAGTGAAAAGATAAAAGTTTCTATTTGAAAAGTAAATGTTTAGGTGACATAAATGAAATGCAATTGTAAAAGACGGACTTAACGGGATATTTCCACTTCCATATTTCCATATATCAACCTTATAAAAATTAAAGAAGCCCAATTCTCCAGCCCAATAGAGCTGCCCTAATACTGCATACGGAGTATTAAATCACCTAGCAACCCATGTGCCGCATCAATTTTTAGTCTCCGTACACAACATTTAGAGGACCATCGGTTAATCCGATGGCCTCTCAAACCGTCGTTCGGCTGAACTTATGGTGGCTGAAGTAATTTCTTATCCGACAATTGAAATTTCTCGGACCATGTCTTGACTCATCACTCGGTTATTTGGGTACGTCCCTTTTATCCTCGTCCTACACTTTTTAATTTTCAGTTATAAATTAATATTTTTTTCATACTATTGATTTTTTGTGCATATCCACGATTTCTATAACTTTTTAGATTGGTTTATTGGTAGTGTTTTTTCTTCAAAAAATTGAGGTCGGTTTTTTTCTCTGTTTGCTACTTGTCCAATTCTTCAATTTTTAATTTTTATGCTTAGGGAAAAATGTTACACCGTTATGTAAATCTGCTCAGTTTAATTTTGACTGAGGATATATAAAATTTGTCTGGCTCCATTTTTTGTTACATTGGTCTTTGAGTATTTAAGGTGTGGATTAACAAAATCTCTTATATTTGAATTGTGTTGCCGGTTAATACAACTTCTATTAACGTGAATCTATTTTGGATAAATCTGATTTGTAGTTGCCATGTAAATCTTTAAATGTGTATATTTATCAAACTCATAAGTCATAACACATGTGAGAGACGATTACAAACAAAGAAACCCGGTTGAAACATTTACTTTTTTGAAATAAGATCAAAGGTTTTGAAATAAATCTTATCTTTTTGTAAAATTACACACATACCTGTTGAAAAACTTACCATGTAAGACTAAGGGAGTGTTTTCAATTGCTTCAACTTTAAAAAAGTGATTTTTTAAAGTGATTTTGGGAAAAGTGATTAGTAGTAAAAGTTGGTAGTGTTTGAGAAAAAAGTGATTCTGGAAAAGTAAAAGTTGGTAGTGTTAGGTAAAATAAGTACTTTTTGTGTAATAGAAAAAGTGAGAAGCAGTTTAAAGCACCCTTCTACCTGCTTCCAGCGTTTATCTTTTAAGTGATTAATTTAAGCAGAAGCTGTCTTTTGAAACACTCTTTTCAACTTTTTTTAAGCCAAAAGCTGAAAAAACCCTTTTTTAAGCAAACCCAAACACTCCTTAATTTTTAACACCCCATCTTATAAATTCTGGATCCATTGTACCGTTAAGATCTGTTAATATACATCGCCATATGAAATGTATATCACTTTTTACTTACATGTATACCAAAAATATGACAAATATGATCAGCATTGTGAACATGCTTCACATAAGTGACACATACATACTGGTATCTTCTAAAAATTAGATATGGAGTATATATGTCACACATTCTATTCTACTGAATATATAAAAGCATAAATATTTCCCATATAAAAAAATACAAATAAAAAAATATGCACTACCCAGTAAGTAATTCACTGTAGATAGTTTAAAACTTTCTTTTTTAGAAGTGTAAATCTAAGCAGATTTGGGCAAGATCACCGGGATTTCATTCTGGCAATCAATTTTGGGAACAAATTAAACTACGTCTCATCATTATTTAAGAATTGTGATGTATATTTGAGCTAACATTCATGCTAATTTATATTTTATAATAATTTATTTCCTATCTAAAATATCTTGTAGACTTATTGTGTGTCATGGGGCGAGTTGTCAATTTCAACCATTTGTTAATATTACTGATTTACTGTGTACTTTTTATATTACAGGTGGCATTCAACATCTTGGATTATATTTTGCCATAATTTAGCATTTAGCATTGTATATGTAATTCTTACAGTCTGTGGCATAAATTATGTGCCCTTTTAATTTAATTTAGAATAGGGAATGCAGGGTATGATCTAAGCACTTCATTCCTATCCACTTCTTTCTGCAAAAGTTGGTTTGGAG